GTGATCTAACATAACGTCTGGGACTTCAGGAGAGTGAATTGTGAGCGTTGGTGTTTTGAAAACATTCATGATAAGTCAGACTTTCAGGATATTTCTACACAGCTGCTAATAGAGTTAATTTTGATGATATTTTGCTTGTGGTATTTATGTCTTAGAGAAATCTAGAAATTGTAGGATTATGCTATGGAATCAACCAAGAGACTCAATTAAAACAGCTTGAATAGTTTCTGGTTTGGGGAATGCCAGTGTTCAGGACTTTACTTGGGTGGATGTGTGAGAAGCTGGATCAAATCTAGTGCAGCAGCACTTTCCAGCTCCGAGATTATTTGGCTTTAAAAACACGGGGTTTTCCGTACTATTTCTCCCTTTAACCTTAATCAGCAAATTACACTTCTTAATTTATTTTATGTATTAGGGCAGCTATGAAAAGTGTTATATAAAAATATGCATTTCCTGGTTTTACAGCTGCCATTTTCCTGTAGAAGCAGTTCACAAGACAATTTTTTTATTTTTTTTACTCAAAAAAACAACGATGCTTACAGTATTATGAATGGCCAGGCAATTACTATATATATAAAAATTGTGTTCCAATATAAACATCCTTGATTTCTGTCTTCCTTAACAGAGTGAAAAGGAAGAATTATGTTGTCTAAGCTTACCAGAAACAAACCTTACGGTTGCTGTGTTTTCTCCTATGGTTAAAGGAAAGGGCATCCATGGGCCTTGTTCTAGAATCCAATGGCATGCTTTTCAGGATTCATTTTGGATGCTGCAGTACGTGTTGCTGCTCTATTGAATCACATCTATTTCATAGTGATTTTTAGATTAAAGAGGATTTAATTTTGGCTGTGATACAGAAGTAATGATTTTTGGTGACTCTGAAAAACATATTGTATTGAACATCGTGGTGACAAAACAATCACAAGCACTGCAAACTTAAGTGGTTGTTAGCATAAGAAGTAATTGGAAAGAACAGCTCTCTACACGAAAACAATTATCCAAGGCTTAACAGGCTTCTCTCTCAAGTCTGTGACACAATTAACCTTGAAGTTATCTAGTAAAATGAAAGCTCATCTTCTTTCGTAGGAGAAGGTGGTAGGGGTCACACTATGTGAGTAAGACTACAAAGAGAAAGTAGTCCACTTTCAGCTCTATGTGGCACAGGTCTTAAATTTATGCAGGATGTGGGTAGAGATTACACATTTCTTACAATGAGTTGTTGATGATGTAGGAGTGCCTTGTCAGTTGATGCAATGGAAGAACATACATAAGGAGAGAGAAAGATATTTTAGTCTGTCCAGAAAAGTCTTTAAAATAGCACAGGACAACGAGAAAGTAAAGAAGCTTTTTAAGGGGCAGGGAGATTTAGGACAAGGAAGAAAATAGCTCAGTAAGCTTGCCAGACATAACAAGTGATTACCAAGTATGCTTATCAAATATAGCCTAGTCAGACTGCTGTATCAAGGGATCAATAGACCAAGCACCTACACCTGTGATACACTAAACTACCTTTAGCATAGCTATTGCTTTTTTATACCCGTAACCTGCAACTTTTATGTAAAACCAGAAATCTCTGTGTGTTGGCAACAGCGTGAATTATAGATGTTAAAGTAGGATAGAAGAAAGTTTACTTTATATCCACCTCTGTACACATACTCTTCCTGTTTCTGAACTTCTCTAACTGGGAAGAAATTTGAGGTCCTGGACTCTTCTTTCTGTTCCAAAATCTGCCAAAGATCTGCTGACTTTATCCTGGTATCCAGTCCACTTTGAATGTTCTCCTCTTTCCTGCCGGGTGTTATGCATCTAACCTAAGAAAGCAAATAACCTGTGCATTGTCATCAGGAGTTAGTAACTATGAAATGGAGATAAGAATAATGGTCTTGAAATTATAGCAGTATTCGTTTAAACATTGCTATACTATGAATAGATTATTAGAACAAATACACTCATCAGTGATATGATATGTTAGGCTTTGAAATTACCTGTTGTATGTTAAGGAGAAATAAAATTGTAGCAATTGAGAAAACCGGAAGGATAATTAGAATATCTAAATAGACAAAACTGTCTTAAGATAAATACAAGTTGTTTTAGATGTGTTCCACTAGTATGTGCTGTGACAAAAATTATGTTTTTTCATCAACTCTGTTTATTTTTTTTTTTGTAGGTATTTGTTACCTTGCTAAAATAAATATCTATGTCATAGCTGTGAAGTCTGTAACTTCTTGCATTAACTAAGTTATATTTTGTATCTGGGGAGTTAGGAGAGTCTGAGCTGATTCTTTAATAAGTAAAATGGTGTAAAATGGTCAAAATTCATTGACAGTAAATAGATTGTTGTGGGACTCAAACTGGACAATTGTAAGTATCCTAGATTCATATAGATTCAACAGTAGTATCGTCAGCCTGTTCTTGGATTACCAAAAAAAGCATGCACATAGTCAAAATGCAGACAAATCTGAGGTGTTCTCCTGGAAGTCTGTTAGCATAGAGTAAGGTGATCTGTTTCCAGGAAGTTCCTGTTGTAAGGAAAAAAAACCCACAACAACCAACTTTGCTCTTTATTTTTTTTTTAATTATTTTGAACAATCTTTCACATACATGAAACAAATTCTGTTTTTTATTCCACTAGCAGAATCCTTCTGGGCTCATTACCCATCGCATAATTCAAAAGCTATCTGTTTTCATTCATAGTGTTTGTAAAGGGTGCTCATGGACATTTTCTTCTGGATCCTCTGTATCATTCCTGAGACGTCATTCTGAGATGCTTTTTCTTCCATCCTGATTATCTTGTATAGTATCTAGATCTTTTACACCAAGTCATCATTTCCGTAAAGAATTTCTCAGATTCTCAGTAACAGTCTTAAGACTATTACATTCTTCTGCACAAGTAGCCTATACATAATGTTGTCATAGAGCTACGCTATTTAAAATAAAAAAAACCTCTGAAAACTGAACTCGTAGTCTGAAGAACCACATGGAATAGCATGCTTTCTTTTTCTGGGAAGGCACAAAATTACTTTCATACTGAAGAAGAAATTCAATGTATAGACAATAATAAAAGGGAGTTAAAAATTGCAGTTGTAAATGGAACTGCCAAACAGAAGTTCATCTACAGACTTCTTTTCTGAACACTCATTCGCTTATGACTTCTGTAAATTAAATTAGATGAACTGTGTTATTTAAATGAAACGCTGAAACAACTCTGAGCGTACAGAATATAGTATAATGTAGAAGCTTACTTGTCCTTGCTTACTCAGCCTTTGGTTAACTGAGACTCCTGGTTACCTGAAAGTCGGTCGTGTCCCCTGACAGCCATGTGCACTGTGCATTACTCCCCTGCTTATCCGGGGAGACATTTGAAACCTTCAGAATAATGGAGTTGTGGGTAAGTGGGTGAGCACTGCGTGAAGCACAGTGCTATCTGGGGACGTGACCAACTTTCACTTAACCAGGCATGTCAGTTAGCAGGAATTTAGAAAAACACATTGCGGGAGATGAAGTGTCTGTGTGTGCATGTGTTTATTAGCTCTCTGCTGTTAGGTGGTTTGTATCACAGTATATATTCAGGAGAACTGCAAAACAGACCTGCTCTTTGCAATTAACCAGGGGCTGCATATTGTTTGTGCCATGACCTTTTTTTGTTAGCCGACCTTAAATGTAGCATAAGTAAATGATAAAAGTCCTTGAAACTAAATATGTGAAGCTATTCTGCAGTATCAGACTGCTTTGGGTTTATTCATTAAATTCAACTGAATTTTAATTGCAGTGTTAGATCCACAGCTGGTTAGGCTGGCTAGGTGGAGCAGCAATACCCTGCAGGCAATTCAAATGTGATACCATACACACTTTGCAATTGTAGAGATGCATGCTTTCAGCGAGCAACGGTAAAGGGCAAAGCCAGCCAATAACACCGCTTCGTTTCTGTAGTAGCAGCATCTGTTTAAATGATTGAGTGGCATTCACAAGGCTCTTCGGCTTTGCTTGTTGTTAGGAGGACTGCAGCTGTAATACAAGGCTGTTTCTGGGAGGCAGGGGGATGCTTCTGAAAAACTGATGGATTCCTGTCAGACAGGAGGTGATCCTCTGTGGGTGAAGGAGCTCTAAGGTCATCCTCTGAAAGCTCACCTACCCTGTAGCTACAGAATAATGTGCTGTGGTTTTCCTGTGAGAGGAGGAGGGATTGGCTCTGTGAGTGGAGGGAAGAAGGGCTGTTCTCGGCTAGCAGAGCTCAATCAATGACTCTTAGGTGGTTTGGACTTCAGAGAATTGCCTGAATCTGTTCTTAAATATTTGCAATGCAGAAGAGAATCTGTCTGTCTCGTGATTTAAGTGACCGGGAGCTTGGGTGTTGCAGTGAGAGGTGAAGTATACAATAACACATGAGAATTCCGCGTTGTTGTAACTCTAGGAGTCAGAGATTAAAAAATGAAGTATTCAGAGTGGTGCCTCCATCTCCCTTCTGTTATTCTGGAGAGAATGGCTCCAGGATGGCAGCACAGGAGAGACTGTGATGTTAAGAACTGCAACTTTTTACCTACCTACTCGTCTCTAATGAGATTATATATTACTTTAAGAATTCAGTTAACAGCAAAGGTGATAAGGAAGGGATGGAGCATGGTGAGGGAAATGGTGTTGATAAAAATGTGTGTTTAAGTGCCTTTAGATCATACCCTGTAGTTTAACTTGCTTTAGAGAGAGGTGATTAGTATAGGTTCTGAGAGACTTGGAAATGCACTGAACTTGAGATTAACAGGTACTTTGTCCCTGCAAATGGGGTCTTTAACATTGCCTTCATCCTGCTGTGTTGTCTGAGACATTAGGTACATGCAGATATCTGGTATAAAATACTTGCTTAGAGCCTACTACTGCAGTCTTGTACATTAAATGGGACGTTGCATATCTAGATGTTAGTGACACTCAGTATTGCCTTTTAAATCAAGTGTGTTCACAGATCCTTACTATTTTCTTCTTTTTTTTTTCCCCTCCTTGAATTTTAGGATTAAAGAGCCCCTTCAGGACAGTGTAATAGCTACCTATGAAGAACATGAAGATAGTGTATATGCAGTTGAATGGTCCTCAGCAGACCCATGGCTATTTGCCTCTCTAAGTTATGATGGGAGACTTGTTATTAACAGGGTTCCTAGAGCTCTTAAATATCACATACTGTTATAATTTGTTTGAATTATTGTGGAGTTGCTATCTTGATGTACACAGTTGGTAGGTATTGTTTAGGGTTTTTTTCGGGATCTATTTTTATTAAGTATATATGTTAAAAGTTTGTTAAGAATATCTGTACTAATATAGAAACTTCTAATTTGTCTTTTGTATTTGCTTTGGAAAACTATGATGCAGTTTCTGAAGGCTGTGCTAGTTAGATTTTTTCTTTTTTTTTTTTTTTGAGGGGCTAATCACTTTATAATTCACAAAGTTTCTCGAGATATTTGGTACATCCCATACTATTGCTTATTACTTCAGCTTTATGCAACTAGAGTGGATTACAGAGCTGGTGTTATACTGATACAAAAGTGGGACAATGTAGGGTGCATGTCGCAGGAGTGATCTGCTTGTTTACAAGAATAATACTTTGTCTTTCTGATATAAGCACCTTTCTGCTCTTAGCTAGAACCACATTCTGCAAACTATTCTGGTCATTCTTCAGTGTTCATATATACAGTTGGGAATGCCCTTAAAAGGCTTTCTTAATTCAGTCTACTATTTTAAACCATTTTTCTCCCATTTTGCATATCCTAAGAGGAAATGTTAATAGTGAAGGTGAACCCTTCAAAATGTGTTTTTCATTTAAGCCTTACGGTAGTATCAACAAAGTACTATAATTTTTGAACTGAATGCAATTTTGAGCTATATGTTGTTATTGGAAACAATATTAGTCTTTGACGAAATCTCTTATAGTCTCACGAAATGTATTATCACATGTTTATACAACTTAGTTGTGCTGTAATATATTTTGAGGGACTCTGAAGCTATGCCATTGTTAACCTGAAAAATGTCTTTAATATTTGTAAGTAGTCTCTCTTTCTTACCCTTCTGGCTCTGTGCCATTCTGCAGTATGCTGACATGATGTAGCAGGCTTTCAGCTAAGCGCAGAACATCCTTTGCTATAGCTTACGCTTTACAATACCTGACTTAGGCATTGGTAACTCTCGTTGCAAATGCTGAGAACAGGCAGATGCTGCCCTGCAGGAAAATGCACAGAAAACCTGAGATGTAAATGGAAGGCATGGGGAAACATGCCTGTATGTACTGACACCCTCCTTCCCCTCGCGTAGCTTGCTGTTAAAATGGAAATTCTGCTGCCTGTTCTTTGTATACTCAGACTAACCACAGCGGTAATTATTCCCTGTTGCCTTTTCATCACTCTTATTTCCCATTAACTTGAGAACCTGGGTATGTGTGATGGTGTTGGTTGTGGTATCAGTGTGTAACACCACTCCGAAGAAATGGCAAGAAGATGGGATGGAAAGATCAATACCAGCCTCTTCCTGTGATTCCTCCTGTTGCTGTGGCAACCGTTGGTGTTAGTGTCAAGGGATGGCCTGCTGCTCACCTCTGCTCGTCCTTACCCACTCTTGGATCGAAACATGTCCGAATGTGATTTGTTGTGTATACACAGCTGCTTCTGGGAGAACATGCTTTGAGAGCGTGACTGACTGCTATAGGCCAAAACATCCAGAGGAGATGAAAGTTGAATTCTATTTCTGGCTTTCTTAAAGAGCTTGTTTGGATGAATTCATAGCAGTGAAGAAATCTAATTAAATCCATGTGTACTATTGTTTGTATTTTGTGTTACGATGCTGCCTGTCTGCTCCAGAATGAATGCTTCATTGGAAATTCTGATGGTCTGATTTTATGCAGTAAGGTTTCAAACTTGTGCTATTTCAAATTGTCTCAATCTGTAATTAGGCATGAGCTATTCACCTATATACTGTAAGAAAAATTACTTTTCCAAATCAGTAGTGCTTCAGTTGTCTGAGTATCAAAATCCTTGATTGGGCTGCAGCTTTATATGTGGAGCTTTCAATCTTCAGACACAATAAGGTTTTGAATCTTTTTTTTTTTCCCCCCACACAAAAACTCCTGCAGTATACCTTTAGTATGCAGCAGAACTCTTTAAAACTTTCTTCACGTTAGCAATAAAGGTCTAATGAAACTTTCTTGTCTGTTAATGTGTATGGCTTGCAGTGTGAAGGTGATGGGAAATTGTGTAGCACTATGTGGGATTTGATTTTATTTTTAACATGTAATAAACGCGGGACAGATTTCAGACTACTTTTGATGTGGCTGTATTTCCTTTAATACTGTCAGCTTATACAAGCTGGAGAGCTCTGTAAACAAATAATACCAAGAAATATTTTCTTTTGTGTTAGTTTTGTTAAATGTGTATAATATCACTCAATAGGGAAGAAGAGAGGAGATGAACACTGAGAAGGAAGGGAGTAGCAGGTCACATTTGAATGAAACGGATTGCAGTAGAATGAAGAGAGCAGAAAGGGTCAAGTTTTAATCATTTTCAGCTGTCTGTAAAGCGGGATCTGAGCTACAAGTGCAGCGCTGGCAGCAATATGGAAATGACCTTCAGAAGGGAAGGCTTTTGACAAGGTTTCGTCCCAGGCTGTTAGAGAAAGCAAGCTGCTGTAGGATAAGGAAGGGTTCAAAGATGGTTAAATAACTGATTAAAAGATAGGAAATAGGAAGCAGGAATAAATCATCACATTTCATGGCAAAAAGAATGACCAATGAGGTCTTGCCAGGACCTGTGCCTAGGCTTGTGCTTTACGGCATATTCATGACCTTTATGGGAAAAGAGCTGCGTAGAAACATGGCAAAGTTTGCAGATGCTGGTCAGAGTAGTGAAGATTACTGACAGAAGAATTATGGAAGGGCCTTACCTCACGCAGTGACTGGATGATAAAAATGGTAGATGCAATTCAGTGCAGGAAATGTGAAGTAGTGGACATGGGAGAAAATTTTGCATAACTGCTGGGGACCACCAGTGTATGCCTATTACTGCTTGGAAGTAAGAACTTAGGGTTTTCATAGATCTTTAAAATGTCGGCTTAATAGAGGTTAAAAATTTAATTAAAATGTTGAGAATTACCAGAAAGCAAATGGAGAAGAAAATAAAGCATTGTTAATCCATTAAATAATAGATATTTATAAAAAATCTGTGGTGTATGTGTATCTTGAATACTGTGTGTAGTTCTGGTTTCTTTCGTCTCAAACCCAATGTAGTTAAACTGGGAAAGATTTTGGAGGAGGGTAACAGGAATGACAAATAGAATGCAACACCTGTATGAGGATAACTAAACAGACTGAAAGGCAGATGGTTGATAGGGAAGAAGTCCATAAAATCACAAGTGGCAGAGGGAGAGGATGAATATGGGAGTGACTGTTCACTGTCTCTCTTGATACCAGGACTAGAGGTTATTAAATGAAATCTGCAGGTGGTGGCTCAAAGTGTACAAAATGAGGTGGTTTCTGCAGGCGTGCAGGTGAGCTATGGCGCTCCTCTTTAACAGACCCTTCCCCTGCCAAGAACATACCCACCCAAAGAAACAACAACAAAAAAATCTCATTACTGTTAAAGTTTACATGACTTGAAAGTAACTGAACCAGTACTTGAAAGATTAATCCGTTAAAGGCTGCTAAATATGAAGACAACATCTCTGGCTTAGAAAATCCTTTTGAACCATGAATCGCTGGACCCTACAAAGAGTACTGGCAGAGAATCCCTGTGTGTTTGTGCATTTGTTACTTACCTCCCTGGACGTGTGCTATTTGCCAGTAGAAAATAGAAGTTAAAAATAATATCTCATTCTCTAAAGCTTTGTCTCTAGTGCTGAGACAGCACGTTGCTACTGCATGTTTCTTCACTCACAACTGTTTATTTTGGTCGTAAGTTGTGTTTTGGGAGATTTCAGAAAACACTCATGTCTCAGATGAATTTCTTACAGAATCTCAGTATTATTTCTGGAAACGACCTTGTTGCAAAATGCTCCTTGGTGCTAAGACTGTGGAGGCAAGCTGATTTCTGTACAGCAAAGAGTCCGTCACCGCTTCGGAAATTCAAATTATGGTCAAACTGATCTCAGTTATTTCAGTGTCTCAGAGAAAATGCTGTTTATGCAGTCACGTATCAGCATTGGTAAGCACATAATTGTTGTGTTTTCAGAAAAACACCTCCTCAGTGATTTTTCTTTCTTTGCAGACTGTGTCCAGGTAAGAAACTTTAATAGGTTATGGTTTTGAAAAAGTGAATTATGATACTCCTTAACAGTGTCAGATTGTCAATGTTTCCATCTAAAAACTTGTTTTATTCCAGGTTTGGTGCTGAAAATATTTCCTTTGTCATCAATCTAATGCGCGTGTCTGGTATGGAGTTACAAAATGCTTGAGAAGTGGTTTTTTTATTCCACAGAAGGTGAATTATTGAAGGAGAAAACAATTGATAATATTTTTTAGTAAGTTTTGAGTATAGTCTAAATGAAACTGACCAAAGTCAGTACAAGTCTTGGCCATTTAATGAGAAGCTTGAAATAGCAATCTGTTTCACTTGAACTAAAAATGGCACTAAATTTAAATTAAAAAAAAAAAACACCACCAAACACTGCAAAGCAAAACCCCTCAGTACCGACCTGATCTTTGCCTTTGGTGTCAGTGCTAAAATTAGCCTGACCTGTCCTGAAGTCCATGAAGTTAATGAACTGCTTGTCAATATGAGAACTAACGAAGAGCATGTATTGGATGGTGTGGGTAGGCTTGACATTTGCTCTAGACCAGTTCTCCTTACCTCATGCCTTTTTGTTTCACAAAGGCGAGTGGAAATAAGAAGCCGTATGGTCTGGATTATGCTCAACACTAAAATTAGTTGAAAACACTGCTTTGTAAAGAATTAAACTACGTGGCTGTTGTATTTTCCAGCTGACAACAGGAAAGCATTAGTTCTGTATTTGCCTCTTCATTCGTAATTCCAAAATCTTACAGCCTGGTACCTCCTGCAGTATTTGAGAGTGATATTCTGCAGCTTGGTTAAGATGGCCTTCAACAGTATTGTCTGACTATATTCTGATATGGTAAGACACCATAAGGTAGATATGCCTTCGACATAACTGAAGCAGTGAAAAGTGGGTAATGATAACAGTCAAGATCGGTATTTGGTTACAAGCTCGTAATGCTATAGAGCTGCTGTTTGGCCTCATAGAGGATGTCGAGGGTTGGTGTGGTTTTTTTCTTTTTCCTTTTTCTAAGGGATATGAAGAAAGCGCTTAAAACTTTGTTGTGTAACCTGTGGGATGAAAGCTATTCTGAGGCTGCAG